ACTCTGGAACCCTATTCCTTGTGCTAAAGACCAAACGGCTGGCGAGTATCCAAACTCACTAAGATCTATTTTTAGCAATGAATAAAAAGAGAGAAGAGCTGAAAGCAATTTATAAGGTATCTTTTAGATGACAGGGCTCACGGTGTCAGTCTTATTGCATGAGCAACTGTGAGGCACTAGGAAAGTTGAGTGATTTTTTTATATTAAGTTAGCAATGAGTGGCAAGAGCAATATGGTTGCTCCAGATGGTTAGTGTCTAAAATGGCCAAGAGCACACGAGTGTTTTACCTTACATGTTGAAACTTTTTTAGCAAATTCTACTCTAGTTTTACCTAATGGAGCAACACAATGTATACTCTTCCATTCACACAGCAGCATTTTGTCATTTAAAAAAACTTATAAATTTAAAAAATTTGTATACTTATATACTCCCCCCCGCCAAAGCCCCAGTAGGTAGTTGTATGTCATAGTTGCACATCCTTCTAGCTGCTGTATGTGGGACGCGGCCTCAGCATGGCCGGAGAAGCGGTGTGTCGGTGTGTGCCCAGGATCCGAACCCGGGCCACCAGCAGCGGAGCGTGCGCACTTAACCGCTAAGCCACGGGGCCGGCCCCTGTATACTTATATACTTATAGTACACGTTTGTTTTATATTTCTAGAAAGGAGGGGGGACCTCAAACATTTTCAGAGGTAATACTGTTAATGTCCTGCTCCTAGATCTTTTCTCACTTGATATCCTTGAGTATCTTTCCATATCATTACATAGAAATTCATCTCAGTTCTTTTACAGCCAGGGAACAGTTTCATGTATGGCTGTACTGTAATTTTCTTAACCTATTTCTCACTGATGGGCGTTTGGGTGAGTTCCAATGGCTTAATGTTATACTGAACATGTGTCTTTGTGTGGCTGTATATTTCTGGTGGATAAAATTCCTTGAAGTGTAACTGATGGTCAAAAGGTGTACACATTTAATGGTTAATAGATATTGCCAAATTAATCCTCCAAAATGGAATACAAGTTTAAGTGCTCACAAGCAGCAAACAAGAGGGTCTCTCATCTTTGCCAACCGAAGAAGAAACAAACCAAAAAAAGGTCTAATTGATATTTTATTTATTTATTTATTTTTTTGGTGAGGAAGATCAGCCCTGAGCTAACATCTATGCCAATCCTCCTCTTTTTGCTGAGGAAGACTGGCCTTGAGCTAACATCCATGCTGATCTTCCTCCACTTTATGTGGAACGCCGCCACAGCACGGCCTGACAAGCAGTGTATTGGTGTGTGCCCGGGGTTCCAAACCCGGGCCACCAGCAGCAGAGAGCGCACACTTAGCTGCTATGCCACGGGACCAACCCCTGATATTTTAATTTACATTCCTTTAGTAAAAGGACCATTAGTTTTTTCTTTCTTCTGTGAATTACTTATTCATATCTACTGCTGTCTTTTTCTATTGTGCTGTTGATCTATTTCTATTACACTTGTCTTATAAATTTGTCTTAAAAATAGTGATGGGGATAACTACATCTTATAAACCCTCCTCTAAAACCCATTAGTGATAAAATACTAAGGACAAATTACTTTCTCTGGCAGTTAATTGTACTTTTTAAATAAAAAAATCAGAATAATTAACTTAGCAAATATAACTTTAGACTGTAAAGAAATAGTTTTAAGCATATTTTAGGGTAATTGTATTATATTTGCCTTGGTCTTCCACTTGGATCATAACTTGAAATGCCCTAAACTTAATCAGGGTTTTCCAAACATAAAAGATTTATTGGAATCATTGAATTCCAAATATTCAAACTCTAAATATCTTTACTAAGTAAATTCTCTAAGGCTAATAGAGTACAAAAGAATAAAAATAAAGTCTATATGTACAATAAAAGTCTATATATGCAAAATCTGGTCATTTAAACTATTCCTCCTTTAAGGAATCATCAAATCCCTAGGGTGGATAGGGAAATCAGCAGAAAATTCTAAAGTGTTCTAACTGCCTGCATGGTGTATCCAATTCTGCTTCCCGGTAAAAACTCAATTACCTTAATAGACATTAACAGATTTGGTTGTTGTTGAGGAAAATTATCTAGTGACATCCCACAAGCTTTGCTGTGGGTTAGGTATTCAAGTCAACCACAGATTATCTCCCCAGGCACTGGGTATCAAGTAAAGGTAATTTCAGTGAATGACAGAGGTGATTTTTATAACCATTTACGTGTTCTTAAGCACATCTGTGCTTCTTTCACAATTTTTAGGGTTTTTTTACCCCCTCCTACTTCTGATTCATTTTCAGCCAGTCATTTATACTCTGGACGGTACATTAAATTGAAAAGATGTAGCAGTCTATAAATGTAAGTGGAATTTATAAATGGAATCTTTATATATTCCATTCCATGGTGTTACATTAAACCAAGGTTTCTCTACCTGGCACTATTGACACTCGAGGCTGGATAATTCCTTGTTCTGGGAGGGCTGTCCTGGGCACTGTTGGATGTTTAGCAGCATCCCTGGTCTTTACCTACTAGATGCCAGTAGCACTCCAACGTCAGTTGTGACAATCAAAAGTGCGTCCAGACATTGCCCAATGCCCCCTGAGGAGGCACAACTGCCCCACCCCCCACCCTAGCTGAGAACCACTGAGTTAATCTAATTGCCCCTGTTCCGTGGGTAAGATTATGTTCTAGTGGCTTGCCTATATTTGTTAATTTTTCTATAATGGGAATTTTTATTTTAAAAAAAAGGCAACAGAGGAAACAATAAAAGAAAATAAAAAAGAATATGTCAGTGGGGGGAAAAGAACTCAAACCCTGAAATTTTTCTGAAAGTACTTTTTAAAGAAAAAAATCACCACCAACAGCTAGGAATATGCTCTTTGCAGGTCCCAATCCCAGGGCTCATGCAACCAATTTAGTAGATCAGAATCAGCATTGAAAAAAAGAATAGAATAGAAAATGTGAGACTGCAAAACAAAAAATAAGAGTAAGTATTAGTTAACAACATATTTTTTTGGTTTATGTGTATGTAACTATTGTGATTTAAATGTATTTATTACTGTGGGTTCTTGTCAAATACTTTTGAAAATCAGATTTACAATTACTGTATATTTCAAGTTATCTCAAATTTTCATTATTACAAATAGCCCAGAGTAGGAAGAGTTGGCTCAAAATGAGCTAAAATGAAACAGCAAGGGGGGAAATTCTCAAAATTCTTTAAAGCAGACAAATAAAAAGAGCTCAAAAAAACACATAAACATACAGCAAAATGATTACAACCTGAAAACCAGTGACCAAGGACATTGGACAAATTGTTTCTTATTAAATGTAAAATGAAAGGCAAGATTTGTTCTGCCTTCTGTTTTTTCTGTATCTGCCATTCTGTATTTTCCATTTCAAGCATTAATGTAACCAAACCTCACTTAGCCAGAATTTGGTCTAGCACACCCCAATCAAGTTTACCTATAAAAAATTAAAATATGCTGTCATAAAAGACTACAGCTTTGCTAACTTTTAACCCAATTTAAAAGAAAAAGGTTTAGGGGTCGGCCCGGTGGCGCAAGCAGTTAATTAAGTGTGTGTGCTCCGCTGCGGCGGCCTGGGGTTCGCCGGTTCAGATCCCGGGCGCGCACCAACGCACTGCTTGGCAAGCCATGCTGTGGCGGTGTCCCATATAAAATGGAGGAAGATGGGCATGGATGTTAGCCCAGGGCCAGTCTTCCTCAGCAAAAAGAAGAGGATTGGCAGATGTTAGCTCAGGGCCGATCCTCCTCACATACACACAAAAATAATAAAAATAAATAGGGGCCAGCCCCGTGGCTTGGCGGTTAAGTGTGTGCGCTCCGCTACTGGCGGCCCTGGTCTGGAGCCCGGGCGTGCACCAACGCAGCGCTTCTCCGGCCATGCTGAGGTGGCATCCCACATACAGCAACTAGAAGGATGTGCAACTGTGACATACAACTATCTACTGGGGCTTTGGGGAGAAAAAGGAGGAGGATTGGCAATAGATGTTAGCTCAGAGCCGGTCTTCCTCAGCAAAAAAAGAGGAGGATTGGCATGGATGTTAGCTCAGGGCTGATCTTCCTCACAGAAAAAAACAAATAAATAAAAGAAAAAGGTTTAGGCTTAAAGGTTTTAACATAAACAGTGGTAATTATAAAGGAATTACAGTAATTTGTCTTATTAAAGCAAATCCTAAGAGGATTTATATCAATGCTTTTTGCCGTTAAATGATATTGTATATAGCTGAAAGCATCTGTTTTAAAACAATGTAAGATATTCTTGAGCTTGACTAGCATGCCCAAATATTCTTAGTCAGCAAGATTTTATTTAAAAAAAAAACCCAAAAACTTTATATTAAAAGGCATGTTATTAAATACCTCAAGTACTTATTTGCTTAAAATAATTTTGTTACAAAAGATCATTTTTTAAAGAAATCACTTTTTCTCCTAAGAGTCTTACCTTTCCATTTTTATGAAGTCCAACAGATTTATTAATTTTTACTTCCACAAAATGTTCCAGAGTACTAAGATATATCATGCAGGCCCAGCACTAAAACAAATCAATTTCAGCAGCACTAATTCTCCATAGAGCACCACTTTCTAGACGAGGCAGATTAACAACTGCGAATCCATTAAATCTATTCATAAAGTGGATCATCTCGAAGTAGAAGCAAATTCATGAGCATAATGTTTGCTTTTGGTATCTCACTTATTTTTCATTTCTCAGATTACTTCAGTGAGAAACAATACCAACAGCAAACAAAGCTCAAAAGGAAAACCCCCACAAATTTCAAAATGATGCTGTTAGTATAAAAAATAAAGGGTGACACATCTCAAAGCGCTGATCAACACCATCATGCATCTACTGCTGAGGGTTAAAGCCCAAAGCCCAGTATTTAACCATTTGATCTTCACGGATCAAGCAAGGACTTAAAATCATCTCACGTGCAACAGTCTTTGCATAACACCCCACTTTATCCATGCCACAAAAATGGTAAATTTAGTAGTTACCAATAAATAAGTTGGGGGTCAAAGGGACTAAAGCCTTAGACTGCTCTTTATCATAAGATATCCTCAGACAAACCTCCCCATTCTTCATTCTGGCTCTATAAAATTAAGGAGCAGAGAAAAATGGTAAGTGCCTGATTTTGCAGAGAAAAATGCACTCTATATTTCCTTTGTCATTATGTTTATAAAATAAATCCACTGCACCACTCCCCCACACCCTCCCTCCCAAAAAAATGTAGCTTAAAATAGGTATTTAATTGGTGGTGGAGGAAAATGTTCCAAGTACTGCAAAGAATGTCAATTTAGTCATCTCAGCATGTTGCACCTTAATAATTCAGGAATCAAGTTAAGTATCAGTGGCATGTTAAGAAAACATGTTTTAAATTCCAATAGTCAAACATTAAAAATTGGATAATAGACCAACTTTTCTGGGCTTTACCCCCAAATGGTGACACAGACTAAGTGAATACTATATCCCAAATTCTGTATTCATACAACCAAATATCAAAAGGAATAAACGTAGAGTTCAGTCTAGAAATGTCCAAACTGAACCCTTGTTTACCAAGTGATTAAGTAACACAAAAAAGATATCTTTATTATTTAATCACAGTCTGATATTTTAGCAATTATTATTTGAATATACATTTATGTTATGTTCTCATTACTGACTATAATATGCTAATAGAAAATCTACTTTATCTACCAACTGTCTGCCTTGTTTGCCTATAAAATGAAGGACTACCTAAACAAACTACACGACGTTTATACAAATTGGGTAAAAGGGAAATTTTAAAGAAATTTTTCTGAAGAAAATAAACATTCATAAGGATAGAAACATATATTACACAAATTAAAAAAGGACTAAAATCAAAATTATTTCGTGATCTGCATATATCTTTAAGCCAACAGATATTTTCATTATAAATTAAAAGTCATCTTTGGTGTTTAGAAATAATCCACTCAAATAAAAGACCTGACACCAAACAGAAAACTCACAATACATGAAAAACTAGATTAATATCAATTAATTAGGACTCCTACAAATTTAAGGCTCCATTTAGATAAGTGTCTTTACAGCTCTATCTACAATTTTAGAAGCAAACAAAATCATTTCATGACATAGACTAAGTGAATACTATACCCCAAATTATAAGACCAAAAAAGCTATTATAGATCCAGGCATTTTGATAAATCCAATAAGAAATGATTTGAAAAATATCATTTATACTTATATATCCAGTTTAAAAGTTCCAACTATTGATAATTTGGACAATGAAAATTTCCAGTCTAAAAAGTAAAAGATGGCATCAGCCTTAGGAAATTCTACTCTGTTCAATACAGAAAAACCTCCAGGAAAATTACGAATTTCTTTACTGCATTACTGAGAAACAAAGAAGTTGGTATCTAAAACAGAATGTTTTAGGCGGGGGGAGGACAGACAGAGCACAGTGGTTAAAATTTCACACAGCTTTGGAGCCTAGCAGATCTAGGACTGGTCACTGGAGCCTCACTGAGCCTCTACTTCATTTGTTAAAAAGGCTCTCATGACCCTTTCTCAGGGCGTCCTGGGGGTTTCCACAGGAGGTCTCACATCTAACTGCTCAATAAGCATTAGGTATCACCATAGTTCCTTTTTGTTGTCAGGGTGTCCAGACAAAAACATTTTTAGCAGTTTGTGGAATGCTTTTTCTCATCTTATTCCACTATCTATTTTATGAACATAATATTCAAACACTCTCCCAGAGATGTAAACGTGTATCATGTATCAACACACAAATGAATCTATATTAGGAATCAAGCATCTTGTCATCCCCGGATTTCTTGTGACAGTATGTTGGTGAATAACCTGAATAACAGGTTAACCTGTTAACCTGAACAGAATAATCTGAAGCCTTACTGCCCCATATAGTCTTTAGCTTAGCTTCTTAAAGGCCTTAACCTGCAATCTATTATAACTCACTCTATATTCAGAATGGACCAGCCACCTTCTGCCTCAAGATCTAAATGGCTAAATTAAGAAAAATGGTTCACTCAGACCACTGAGTAGAAAATGTCATAATGTACTATCTCTTTGGTTTATGTACAAAACAATGTAAAGGTAGTCACAGATGAGAAATAGGGCCAAAGTTCTCTTCTAAAGACAAGGAACTGTAATTAACAGTAGTCACCTTTTTTTTTTTTTTAAGCTAGGTTAAGACAGGGCAAGGAGAATTTTACATGGGACCACAGACATCCTATGCTTCTCTCTCCATTCTACTTTCCCCATTTAAAGATACAAAAATACTGCTTCAAAATGGGAGACACTACTTACTATGAAAAGACTTCAATAGGGGAGATATGCACACACTGAAATAAATATGGACCTGTAATAACTTTTTTATCCCCTAGTACATTAAATACTCATTACATGCTATCAATTAAACTTAGCATATTGGTCATATTGTAAAGTCTATAGCAATTTCCCAGTAGAGTTCAAATACCAATCAAGACACAAGGAGTTATCAGTGCCCTAAACATTACTCTCCAGAAAAAACATATTAAAATGAAAAGCTGAACTTCAGGAACTTTAGAAATGTTTTAAGGCAAATGTAATTAATCAGGAAATGATGAAGAACTTGGAGGAACTACCAGGAACTGACAGAACAGAATATAGTTCCATAATAATGAAATATAAAAGTGATCAAGGAAAGGGACAAATATGAAAAATTCCCAATTCCTGATCCTGGTTTTAACCTAATTTTTAGAAAAGTCTGATTAGTGAACAGCAAAATAAGGAGGTGCTAACTTTAAAACCAATTTTACAACAGTAGAATATGAGCTTGTAGTCGGCATACCTAATGTTAAAAAAAAAATCTCCCCAATGACATGTTTGCAATCAATTAATAAACAACCGTGGCAAACTGTACACACACAGAAAAGGGGCTGTGCTCATTTCACTACTGAACACCAGGGCTGCCAACAAAACACTTCACTTCGGTAGGCACCTTAACCACTGTTTTGGTAACTCAAGATCATTAAATGTACAATGTGTTGTCTCACATTTAATCTCTGTATGTTCCGGATGATGCCATCCCCAGTTGGAGCAATCCCCACAACTGACCCAGTCAGTGACTGATGCACAGGGATTACCGAGAGCACCTCCTTCCCTATAGAGGCCAGTGGTTAAGAAGTTATAATGGAGAAAAAGAGATTTACTCTTCTTCCCTTAGTTCACATTTCTGTTGTAACAGAAATGCTAAAAAATTGGATTTAAAGCCTCCTTTAATAATTAAAAAAAGACATTTACCTTAATGAAAACACACTGCATTTTTTATATTGACTAGCCCCTTCTCCTCATGCTATAAATTTTCTATTTTTAGCCATAATTATGGCTAAAGCATAATTCAAGTTGGTACCTGAATTAAGGTATCAAGTTTTTAGAAAAAGGTAGCCTTATCTATGAAATTTTAAACTTCAGAAATCGAAGGTACAGAAGCATCAAATATACAATTAACCCAGGACAACTGTGGAAATTAGAAAAGGAAGGGAGTTTATTAATGGTTCTGGTGATATCAAGGCAAGACAAGAATGCAGTCATTTGATAGAACATGGTTCGTTATTTAAGAGCAAAGAGAAGTACCAAGTCTTTTTAGTTAGTTTTGCTAACACAAAACCAGAAGGGTCTACAAAAAGTGTAATTATAACACTATCATTTGCTTGGCTACATTTGCACTTAATGGACATGAGGGGAAAGTATGAACCAATTTGGAATGAAAATGCCATAATCTCACAGTCAACTCCTGATTATCCACACTAATGAGGAAAGGGGTTATCTTAAGTAATTCAGAACAATGGATGCAGAGTTCTCAAATTACTATTACTTTTGATGAATCTTTTCCCTTCTTAAAGTAGTCTGTCCTCTAAAGGTTTAGACTCTAGTGTTTTGGGGTCCAAAAATGGGCCATCAATACGACAGACCATCTCCAAAGTAAATGATCCATCTAGAGAGAACTGAGTTGATGTGACTGACACATATTCCAATCAATACACTGCACATGGACACTCCATGCCAAGCATGCTTCAGAGTAATTTCTGAAACTGTAAGAATGAGGGAAGATGACCGAGACTTTCCTAGCAAGAGCAAAGCATGCTAATGTCTAGTCAAGAGAACTCTGAGAAGCTTACCTCCTGCAGTAGATCAGCCTGCTCAATTGCTTTAAGGACATTTTTCTTGGATGTTTCCTGAACTTCCCCTCCCAAAAGAAACTCATCCAAAATAAAATAAGCTTTCTCAAAATTAAAGATGATATCAAGTTCACACACCTGAAAAGCAAAAAAAAAAAAAAAAAAAAGTTAAAACTGAAGAAAGGAAAAGATACTCATCCACTATCAGGTAGTAAATAAAATCTGACCAGAGTGAATCATTCTTAATTCTTTCTAAAAATGGCAATCTTGCTAACTAAACATCATTGATTTAGTCAGCTTAATTTGCATATCTCAAGTACTTGAAAACATAATGCCTACAAGCTAAGTGAGATCTGACTCTGCAAGCTCCCCACATAGGCAACTTCATAATTTTCTACTCGTGAAAACTGATCTTTTTAAACACATATTTCCTGAGTAAGGTGATTATAACTGCTAACCAAATCTAAATTCTATACTAAGCACTTTCAGAATATTAACCTTTGCAGTTGGACTCCTTTCTATTTCACTATCTTAAACCTCATTCTCACCACCATAACTAAATGAGTAGGTCTGTGGGGTCAAGCAATTCTGGCAGTTAACTGACTAGGAACACTGACAAGAAACAGTCATTCCTTCCCTTTCCCACAGTTACTTCCAAATAGTCAGAATCCTCAAGACAATCAAATAATAAACTTGTTACAGAAAAGATTAAAGACAAAAATACTACGGCATTCAATTTCCTAAAACAAAATACTACTCACACTGCCAAAATACTTGTCAAGTAATTCCACATAACGATGAATTATTTCCAGGGTAATTAGTTCATTGTCCTGATCCTCAATAGCACAGCAGAAATACAGACTAGCATATCTGTAACAAAAAACAAATGTGGAAAAACTTTTTCCCTATAATCATGTTTTCTAAATATATTTTCACATCCTATTGCGAAAGACCTCATGCTTATAGTTTATTTCCTGTTTTACAACAATACAGATTATTTTCCTCCTAGACTACAAAAGTAACAAATGCATATAAAAGAAATTTTGAAAAGCACAGGCAAGTAAAAAAGAAAAAAACCACTCAGTCACACCATCTAGAAAGAATAACTTATTTTGCTCTTCTTTTCAGGCTCCTTTCTATGAATATTCTAAAACATAGGTGACCCAGGATGTTTTGGGTTTTTTTTTTGTGAGGAAGATTAGCCCTGAGCTAACATCCGATGACAATCGTCCTCTTTTTGCTGAGGAAGATTGGCCCTGGGCTAACATCCATGCCCCTCTTCCTCTACTTTATATGGGATGCCGCCACAGCATGGCTTGACAAGCAGTGTGTTGGTGCACACCCGGGATCCGAACCCGCGCACCCCGGGCCAGTTAAGTGGAGCTCGCGCACTTAACTGCTGTGCCACCGGGCCGGCCCCCAGGTTGTTCTGAAGTTTACTTAATTAAAACAAAATGCACTGTGTGACTAATTAAAACTACAAGTAAACAAGAAGAAAGCAAACTCCCCATTTAAAGGACTTATTGAAGACATTGTCAATGTGAAGTCAACGTTCTAGAACGTTTTATTTAAGTGTAATATACACACAGAGAAGAACAAAAGTCATAAATGTACAACTCGATGAGTTTTCAAAGGGAACCCACCCGTGTACCAACGCCCAGATCAAGAAACAGAATTATTACTGAACCCCTGAAGCCCCTCTCCTAGCCTCTCCAGGTCACGACCTCCCACCCCTAAGGGTAACTACCATGTTGACTTCTAACAGCATAGAATTGTTTTTAAAAAGGAGATCTCTAGGATTGTGGAATAAACCCCAAGAAAAGAACAACAGTTCCAAGTTACTACAGATGTTAGGGAAAGAGAACAGGAGAAACTGAGACTGTCCTCAAATTTTCCAAGTTCTACACTATTGAACTGAAGTTTAGGTTTTTACCCTTGAAGAAGGAATAAGGCTGGAAAACTTATATTCTCCTCCAAATTAGGATTCCAGCACATGGGACCAGGTTATACTTGACCCAAGGAAGCCAGAACTTATTAATATACAACCCTGAGGCAAAGCAAATGATGACCAAGTCCTTTGAGGAGGATTAAAAGAGCATTTTCAAATAGGTTAAGTGTATTTAAGGCTTTTGAAAAGAAACAAAATAAAAACCTAAGACATTCTAAACAAGCCTCAGTTGAGATTGTAATTTTCACTGAGGAGCACATAACTGATTTTTAGAAAACACAATCGGCAATTACTGCTCATAGCATTAATGCAAAATAATATACAAGCGCAAACACAATCTGAGTTTTGGAATTCAATGAATTCCTGCTCTTCAGTATGAGAATTACTAGTACTTACATAACACTCTATTAATTTCAATATTATCAAAAACATTTCATCTTATTTGATCTTTCCAACAGCAGGCACCATCATCCTTGATTATGGAAGGAAAAAAAAAACAAGGCCCATGAGTACAGGGTCTGCCAAGTGGCTGTACTGGGACAAGAAATCTGATTTTTGGACTTTAACTCCAGGCCTTTTTCCATCTACCACACCGACTTCCTTGTCGTACACGGCATGACTGTTTGCCATGTTCGTTCTACCGGACTTCCACATTCATTAAGTTATTTAAAATGGTGGGTCTCCGGTAGTCTTCATGAGGAGGCATTCGAATGCATTCATTTATTATCATGAAGGACTTAACAGGGCACCACCTCAAACTTGAACAAAGTGCTTCCTCTCTTTCCCGGCGCTACCCTATGTTTTTGCTTCTCTGTTTAAAAGGCAATGGGCTGGGCCGGCCCCGTGGCTTAGTGGTTAAGTGCTCGCGCTCTGCTGCTGGCGGCCCGGGTTCGGATCCCGGGCGCGCACCGACACGCCACTTCTCCGGCTATGCTGAGGCCGCGTCCCACATACAGCAACTAGAAGGATGTGCAGCTATGACATACAACTATCTACTGGGGCTTTGGGGGGGAAAATAAATAAATAAAATCTTAAAAAAAAAAAGGCAATGGGCTATTTCAACTCTCCATCCTCCCTAACCCATGCTCACTAAACAGAATTTTCAATTTGAGGAAAATGACACAAATGACACATAAGGTTCCCTAAATTAAGAAAGCCAAAGATTAAAGGGACTGACATTAAAAATGGTAGATAAAAACCAGACATGACTAGCTGACATGAATACAGTGCTAAATAATTCCATTAGAACAAATTTACTAATAATAGTTTCGGGTAAAATTCCTTTTACTCTTGATTTCAATGCTACCGTTAAGCAATCTAATGCTTGCGCCATCCTCACTCCCTGTCCACAAGCACTGCCTCTTTACTTACAAACAGCACTTGAACACTAGTCAAAGGTCCTAATTTATAAGAATCATTTGAAAATATTAATTTAAATATCACCAGGACTGATGTTATCTAAGCACCAACCAGTAATATTAAAAAAACCCTGTAACACTATCTCAATGTTTGCTTTCACTTAGAATGGAAAAAGAGCCATCAAATTTAAATGAATTCTTCCTTGTAGGTGAACATCTAGTTGTCAGGATTATAAGAAGCTTTCCAGGAAGCTTAGGGAAGAAAGAACCAAGCATAATAACTGGTAACAGTCATTGAGCCCTCACTCTGAGTGAGGCAATAAATGTTAGCTAAGGCTTTTGCATATTTTACCATTTTAACCCTCACAACAACCCTTCCAGAGATATACCATTATTACTTATATCTATAGGAGACTCAGGCTTGAGTAACCTCCCCAGGAACAGCGATTTGACTCCAGAGCCCAAGCTTTATATTAAAAACTAGAGCCAGGAACTGTATTAAATAAAGTAATCCTGTACCTGGCAAAAATTAAAACATATTCAAAGCAACATTTTAAGAGTTTTGAAGAGGAAGAGATATAAAAATTGCCATACTTATTTAGTAAAAGATTACCAAGAGAACCTGAAGTGTACTCCCTATTTTTAGAACCAAATGGTTTTTAAAAATTCAATAATGAGCTCATTTTGTTCTCTTAGTGCATGTTTGTAAGTCTAAATCTGAAGTAAAATTAATAATAGACTAGTAAGAAGAAAGGTATGTTTGGTTATTTTTAGCAGAGTGGATTAAGGCTTACTCTAATTACTGGCACTCAGAGAACATCTGAAAGTGCCTATTCTTATATTCAGAACACATGACTTCTCCGCAGTCAGCTAAATATCAGCTGACTGTGGGTGAATGGAACGAAACTGTTCTCAATCCCCACTGGTATGTCATTACAAATTCTTTTGTTAGTAAAGAAAATCAATACAGCACTCTTCACAAATTCTCAAGCTAGTGATTTGGAGATGTATGTATTTTTAAATTAATTTTAAGACTTTAATCCAGTGCCTCTTCTATAACATGCTGCACAAAATAAGAAACAAAAAAGCATAGTGTTTTGTCTTCAAGAGATCTTCAAGAGCATTTATTTTAAAGACGAGGAAGCAAAGGCAAAATGACTTGTTCAAAGTCACAAAACTAGCTAATGGCAAGACCGGAATAGAACTCAAGTCCCAGATTTTCAGTCTGTTTTTTCATCTATATTATCTTTACTCCCCACTCTCCCCTCTCCCTCCCCAAGAGGGGGAATCGTTATGCAAAATGCTCAGGATGAAGAACGTGGATGAGACAACTTGAGGAAAGAAGACATAAAAGATCACTTGCTGGTATGAACAGCAAAAGCGCTAGTTCAGAATTTCTCAGGAGCTAAGCAGCAATCTGCTTAAAAGGTCTTCTCTTTCAGGTAGACTAGGGAAAAAAAAAAATCACCTATTTATATCAACAAAATATATGTCCTTAAGTACAAGAGATGAGGTCTTCAGTATGAAATGGGGAGATGCACAGAAAAATTGACTATAAATTCTAACTTTTGTATGTGAATTTAATCTCAATAAAGCTGTTTTTTTAAAGTGCACCTTTTATTTATAGGAGCTTGATGTAAGTATCAGTCAGGTTAGATTACCCTTTACAGCCTTTAAAAGAAAAAGCAGTGGCCCAACATGGGTGGGCTGAATGCCGTATGCAGGACCACCTACTAATGCTTTCTTTCCTTCCGTTTGACAGGCCACTTCCTTCAGCTGCAGAAATCTCCATTCGTGGGATTGATTCTCTTGCTGGTATTTTCCTCCTCCACACGGGGGACTCCTTCCCCTATCTAGAAATAAGCTTAAGGCTCTCATACCTTTTTTTAATCCTGTCCCCACTCCTATGTCTATGGGTGGTTAGCACCTCTTCTGTGCTTCATAGCAAAGCTCCCCAAATAGTCTACACTTGCTGTTTAAATCTCTCTACCTCTTCACACTTCACCCCACTTCTTCGAGAGTTCTGTCTCTGCTATTCCACTGAAAATATTCTGACCAAGGGCATTTTATGAAATGCTCACTGTAAAATCTAATTGATTCCTTCTTCACTTTAATTGAACTTTTATGCAACATCTGGCGCTGGTAACCTTATTTTCGAAACTCTCTCCCCTTCCCGGATGTTACTGACCCTACACTTACCCTCTCCCCCTTTGCCTGTCGCTTGAATGTTGGTGATCTAACACTTTATGCCTAATTTTCCCCCAGACTTCCAGGCCTATACCCACCCCCAGAAAATCAGGCCTCTCCAAATGGAAGTCACACAGGCATCTCAAAGTCAATTTGTCTACTGGCTCACTGTTTACCCATCAGCTGAACCAGAAATGTGGAATCACTCCACTCCTCCCCTTCTTTCAGTGCCCTCCCCCTTTCTAGCAGTGATCAAGTCTTAGAACTAACTTACCTCGATAACAGTTCTCCTTTCCACCTGCTGAGTCCACAGTAGGGGTCTTCCTTCAGGATCTCATTATAATGCAGTCTCCTAACAGATCCCTCAGGTGCCAGTCTCAGCCCTCCCCGCACCCATTCTCCAATTACAAGATCTTTTACGAAATACAATCTGCTCTTTTTTCATCCCTGTTTAAAACCTTTGCCTCCAAGCTTAAGACTTGAGTTCTAGCCCCTATGTCAGTCACTAACTGGTATATGACCTTGAACAAGTCACTTCTCCCAAGTTCTGGTTTTTACAAAATTGAAGTTTGATCAACGCTAGCGGTTTTCAATCTCAGGAACCATCTCCTATGCAGAGGGTAGAGAGGCCAGGTGAGCAGGGGTACAGGATCCCAGTCCTGATTTCACAAGAGCACCTCTACTTCCACTGGTTTCATTTAAGGTTCTATCCTTGGGCAAAAAGCTTTTTAAAAAAAATCCCTTGACTATATTATCCTAAGACATCTCCCAGCTCTAAAATGCTATGATTTTTCTCAACAAGTACCAAACCAAACACTGGATATAAAATCACCCAAAGATGACTAAATTTATTCTATTGTAAAGAGGAGTCTGCGGTATTTAAAAAATTTTCGCTGTCCTTATAATCTCCATTACTTCCTCTGCCATCTCCCCAACAAAAAAAACCCCATCCATACTTGGGAGTGTAATAAAAGAAAACTGAGACAAAAAACCCAGACTTCTCAACCCTCCTTGCAGCCCACACTGTTAGCTCCCTGCTCATCCCCCAAAGAGAATGTTTTTATATGCAGAAACTCCCTTACATACAGAAAATTATTCATAAGGAAACAGAAATGGGGAAAAACGGGGCCGGCCCCGTGGCTTGGCGGTTAAGTGTGCGCGCTCCACTGCTGGCGGCCTGGGTTCGGATCCCGGGCGTGCACTGGTGCACTGCTTGTCCAGCCATGCTGAGGCCGCGCCCCACATACAGCAACTAGAAGGATGTACAGCTATGACATACAACTATCTACTGGGGCTTTGGGGGGAAAAATAAATAAATAAAATTATTAAAAAAAAAAAAGAAATGGGGAAAAACAAAGTAGCTGTATTTCTTTTAACCTGATTATAACAACCTTGAGAAATTTATTTTAAGGTATTAAAAGTTTCAGATATTAATAAAGATGTATAGCTTTTTTAAAAAAAAAAAGCTTAGTGTTCAAAGCCAATCTATGAGTCATTTTGCAACATGAAAAATTTAAAAATCTACTCTTGGCAAAATTATCAAATCTAATCACACCTCTACCTCAGCAACAAGCATACTTCAAATTAATAAACACTACTAATGAAGAGATCCTGTATAAAGACAAAGTTTTTAAACATCTCTATGACTGAAACGGTCTATGTATCCAAGGTGTTTATAAGTGAGTAAGATTCTAAGTCAGATAAAAGGCATGTCAATTATCAGTCATTACAGATTTTCGGGGAGAATGGAAAGGGGTGAAAACGCTTGTCTAGATTCAGCGAGTTACTCACACAATTTAAAATACTGATCCTATTTTTCCCTGCAAAGAAATGAATTCATTGAATTTTTCTAAAAAGATGATTAAGCATGAATAATCATTTACGCCTACAATTATATAATTAGATTAAAAACGACTTCCCTATTATCATTTTAGCCTGGGTAATCAATCAGAACAGCAGTTATTTTAAAAATACAAAGCTTTAATTTAAATCTTTTTCATCTAAATCTTTATTAATCATTATTTATAAATGTAATCTCTCGAAAGTCTGCAATTTCCACATTATAGATGACTGAACATTTCATTCTGCTATTTCACCTTTCTGATAAATAAAAATTATACCTTTTGTAAACAATCTTCAGATCTCGCCACTCAAGAAAGCTGCACATTTTAGGTTTCCGTGCTAAGACGGTTTGAACAAGTTCTCTTGTGATCTTTTTCTTCTCTTTGTCTGATAGTGGGACATACCATTTCTGCAGTCGAAGCTTTCCCTGACGACTAAAAAGCAACATAAACTGCATCTGTTAAGATAAATAAAACCAAGATCATATGCAGTACTTTGATTCAATAAAAGTTAAGATTAAGATGACATAGCTCCAGGGGACAGGGTGTCAACTGACAAATGATTAGTAGCCATCAATATTCCTATGTCAGTTAAAATAGCAGGAAATTCTTGTAGAAACATCTTCCCACCAGATGCAATCTCTCCATTCCACCCTGTTCCACGTAAGTTTGGAAAGCAGCGTGTGGGGGGGGAAAAAAGAAAAACAGGTAATAAGCTGGAATGGAAATTTTGAGGAAAAAGAAAGATAACTCTTGCAATTTAAGAAACTGTCTGCCTGTGCTATACATTCCACACTCTCTATATGCATCAAAAGAGAATTGTTGACATGAACTGGTTTAGGTACATTTAAAAGAAACAGGAGACCTACTATTTTTCACCCTGAGGCTGTTTAGTTCCAGGCTGAATTACTGTAGACAGACTGCTATCACTTAGAATGCTTTCTTCAGTTTATGCTTACATATTTTAAGCAAAACAAAAGATCTAAGAGATTACCCCCAAAAAAAATCCTATAAAAGCACATTTTTCTTAATAAAAGCATGACTTTTAAGTATCTCTTCTCATCTCACTTTTTAAAAATACCGATATAAATATGCACACAATAAACGAGTTAATGTAATATTATGAAAGAGAACATAAACCTCTAAAAAGCCAAAACAAGAGTTAAACATATTCAGAGACATTACATGACATACTTCATTTAAAACAACAAAAAAATAGCATTGACAGATGGGAGTGGATGTTGAATTCTAGTGTACTTTACACAAACTATTTTGTATATATTTATCTGGAATCTGCAAATCTGTTATTAGTCTACACATTTAATTTTTAAGGCAAGTTCTTGTAAATTCAACTGGTCTTCTCAACTGCAAACAGATAAGCACTGTTTCTACAAAGGTAATTTAAAGGTAGAATTCAGACGAGTATTTTTTTCTTTTAACTCTCCTAAGTTCCTTTAACAGCGTTACTGCAAGGAAGATCCCAGCCTGATTCTTAACATTCACCACACCATCTTGAATTTAAACATGGGGTGGGGGAATTTACACAACCCATTTAGAATACAACGGGCCCTGCCTTTCGGTAAGAAATTATTGTCGCTCTTTGTACTAGTCCAGACAGGCATCAACAAAATACTTAGAAATTTATGATGCGGCAATTTAACTTTATTAAAGTTAAAATTGGCTTATTACAACTCACTTAAAACGCTTCACTGGTACAAAATAAACGAACAATATTCGTGATATCAAAGTCCCTCCCATACGAGTCCTGTTAAGATAGCCGCATTCGAAGGGGACCGCAAGTAAAGCATCTACCGAACAACGTTTAATGCAAACCCGTTACCAGAACTTGGAAAATAACAGACCCGTATTCCAGGATCTCGGTGACCAGGAGGGGTGGGGGTTTGCTTTCGAAAGGAGTATAGGCTCAACGCTGTCGGTAGCAGGGTCCTGTATTTCCCCTCTACCACTTTATAGGACAAATAAATAATTCACTCTCTTTAAAATAAATTATGCGCTAACATGGGACGATACCCGGTTGCAAGGCACAAGTATTCCCTCTTATTAACAACCAATGCTTCGATTGTGCCGCAAATCGCAGGGCACCTCAATTCCTCGAGATTGCTATTAAAAACAATGGGCTCGGCCGCGGGGCGGGCTCGGGGCCAGCGTTCCTCGGTCCGGCCGTCTCCGCCGCCTCCCCGCCGCCCCACGGGGCCGCACTCCATCACTGACCAAGCCCGGGCGAGGTGACAGGCAAGGAGCGGGGCAGACAATGGCATCCGCCGCCGCGCAGGGGGCGCCAAGGGTCCTCGGCCGCCGCCGCCCCCGCCCGCGGGCCCCTCCCGAAAATGCCCCGCAAAACTTGAGATGATTCCCGAACCACAGGTGCCGCGGGGCCGCCGCGGCGGCCGGCACTGGCCCCCGCATCCCAGGGCGCGGCGCGGTGTGGAAAGAGGGGAGCGGACGCAGAGAGAAGTGAGTTGCGGGGCGCGGCGCCCAGTGGCGGGGCGGGCACGGGGTGGGGTCGTCGGGGCGCG